TTTGTCTTTAATAAAACTTTAACCAGTTATCGCGCCAATACATGTAAAAAGGGAAAGAAATTTTTTTTGTATTTTTGATTTTTGATGTAAATCTATCTACATCCACATCTTTGTTCCGATTTCATCGACTGATACGTCTAACCTTTATCCTTGATTCCATTTCTGCTCGTCTCCACCGTACGGAATGTAAAACACGGTTTACTCGCGAAACACCCGTTAGATCGTCGCTGTCGATGGAGAGGAGAGTTCGCCTGGTCTACTGTGTGCGTGCACGCATGCAAATTTGCAAGTTTGTTGTTAAGCACAAACGGGCCCCGGCTTGTCGTACGTCGGCGTGAGATGTGGTCCGTCAAAAAGCCGTAAAACGCCGTGGACTCTCGTCTCGTTCCGAGCCCTCCTGCCCGCTCGCTCGCGTGTAAACCAACCCGCACACGCGTGCGTGCGCGTACACGCACGAGCTTTCGCGCCCGCACGCTGCGTTTATTTCCGTCGGTCAGGTCTTTAGGGCCCCGCTGCTCGTTCCCAGGCATCGCCTTAAGCGGCCCTCGGCGAAGATAATAAAAGGCGCGTCCGCCTCGCGGGGTCCGATCGACCCGGTAAACTCGGTGACAACAACGACACACGCGTCTCTTGACGTAGAAAATGCGTTTCTTCTCCTCTTCGTCTCCTCTTTTCCCTCTCTGCTCTGCCTCTCCGTCCCATCCGCGATCGAACGGACCCCGAAGGGCCCTCTGGCTTTCTAAATCTTATCGGCCGGTTGTAAAACTTTATGTTCGCGCCAGGACGAGAGGCGACTCCGAACGACGACAATAGCTTCAGAAATAACGCCACGAATTTTCGCAGGCAACATAAAAGAAAGCGAAAGCAGTTGACTAAAATAGAGTAAACGTTAACTTTTTTTTGTTCCTCTCTAACGAATATTGTTGTCTCTCTAGACAATTCTGCACGCATGAATATATCCAAGTTTTAACAAGATAGAAAAAAAAATAATGAAATTAATAAAGAAAAACTATATTTTGAGTATTGCCCTGTTTTTGAGTATATTAAAAAAAACATTAAAAGAATTTTAATACGATGTATTTTATTTTTTTTATAATAACTTGCTTAGAGGATAAATGGACCGATAGACATTTAATGGCGAACAGGTTTCTCGTATTAATCTAATGCGTTTCAAGATGGCTGCGATGACGACGGACCGAGCAAAAAGGACCGCGTTTTGGCCACAGGAGTTGTGCCGACCGCAGAGTGGTGGCCGGAGACTCAGCGATGGTAAGGGTGGCTGTAAGCGATCCTGTCCGCGCTTGCGAAACGTACCGATGGATCATCCGTCGTCACCCCATATCGCGAGCGGTCCTCGAGCGTAATTTATCCCGTTATGCTAATCGGGACGATTTGTCTAAATTAAAAGGCGCTCGGCCGTTGATCCG